GACGATTTCTTGGAGGACGACATGGCAATGGTTGGTAAGAGAGTGGTCTGGTGGTCAAGGTGGGATGTCAGGGTCAAGGCTGAAGCCGCGGTTTGCGGAGCCTCGGAGGTATGTGTTGTCTGATTGGTCTGTGCACATGAATATCGAGAAAAAAGGCATTCCGGTTCTAGAATATTTGTATTTGGTGGTATCATAGATGCTGAGAAATGCATCTTACTATTTTCAACGCCATAACTCCGTCCTAATGCAATTGTGGTCTCGTAGCCCACAAGCCATGCAACCGCGCCAATGCGCCGCCCGGTACTGCCAAAGGCGCCTCAATCAGACTCTGAATCAACCTCCATAACATCTCCGTTTGTCTGTTCTCTCCGCTGCTGTGTCCTCGCTGCGTCTGTTGTAGTCTTCTTGCCTCCTCTTCCTGCTTTCTGTGCTGCCTTTGCTGCCTTCTCCTCCTCCTGAGAGAGCAGAGAACCATCAATACGCAAGAAACCTTTTCCCTTTCCTTTACCATCCATTCTGCCATCAATGTTGCGTATCCTGACCCGCAGTTCGCCCTCCACCTTCTTTCCTTTGCCATCCACCCACCAACCACCTTCATCTGACAGTTTATCGTCCCAACCTTTCTTCACTTTGCCTGACTCGTTCTGGTGCCATGACCAATCTGCAGGCATGTTTTCCTTGAGGATGCTGACGGGGAAAGTGTTGAGATGCGCGAGTGTGATATGCGTTTTCGCATGGTCTGTGATGTGGGCTTGTAGGTATGCATTTTGAGCCGGGCGCCATACAAGGAACGAGGCAGTTGCCCAGAGGAAGGGTGCAGCGTATTCATCGACGTGTTTTAGGAGCAGAGGCTCTGCATGAGAACCATTCTTGCGTTCCGAGTCGTTTTGCGCATGTTTGGAATATGACTTGGTAGCAGATGCGGTCGGAGGTGTGCTGCTTAATTCAACATCCTCATATGCGAGCACTACACCATTTGCGGGCGGGAAGTAGGTGAGGAGTAATGGTGATAATACAGTCGCGCATACTGCTGAGAAGGGATCCGAAAGGCATGAAGGCGGGATGGAGACGTATTGCGAGATACGCTCAGTGTGAAATAGAGATACACTCTCGCTCGGTACAGGCGCCATAATTGGAGAACGAAACAGACTGTAGGTTGCGTAATGTACTTTGCGATCGCGTTGTCGCAAAAGTGCTGAGCTCGAAAAAAGTTGGAGATCGGCGTCTGCAAATACCGATTTGTGGGGTCACGCTAAGGTCCAAAGACGTTAGTCTGTATTTCCGATGGTCAAGTACACGCCAGAAGGAACATGAAATCTGAACCAGAAAGTGCTTCTTGAAGGCAACTGTATGCTTGAATTTATTACTTTAGCCCAATTAACGCTACTCATTTCACTAACTACTGGATGTTTGGTCCCTCGCCAAGCCAGCACGTTGTTCAGCTATCTACTATGTTCTGCTGGCGATTTGAGGACTTGGATAAAAAAATAAGATCATGTCTACAATGGTCCATCTACCCGAGTATTGGTGCATATCACTCTCCATAGAAACATTCTCAGGTTCATTTAGCTAAAGGGACCCTCCTAAGCTTTACATGAGAATATATCTTGGTACAAATGTAAACAAGATCTCTAAGGATATTATAGACGGACTTTTTATTATGTAGCCAAGGTATCATATCCCCAAGATCTCGAGCCATTCACAGAGCCGAACAAAAGGCTAAAGAAACATATAGATAACGGTGAATCTGTGGCATTGTTAATCTCGTCCGGTTACAACCGACGTAATACTAATTGGTGCTGAATGTTGTGCATCGACACATGCTCCACAGCGGACAAATTTCGGCGCAAATACTCTCGCTATACTGTAACTCCAAAAAGCGCATCCTAATGCTAGTTTAGACAGAGCTAAAGTACAGAATGACAGTTGCAGCTCTGCGTGTAAGTGAACAAGTCAAGTTTGTTTGCTCATTAGCGCCCCACTAAGAATGTGACGAATCAGGTTTAGCCTGTTGGTAGAAGCTTTGGAGAGCCCAAACACCTGTTGTGTACATACACTGGAATCTGAAGTAGGCAGCCAGACAGTTAGCTTTTGGATCATACTCAAGTTCTGGCAGAGATACGCCTATGAGGTTTCAAGGAAACGAAATACTTGTCTCTCAGGACAGTTGGCGGCGACGCTGATGTAATATTTGATGGGTCAACCAGGGACGCGCGCCTTCAGGCGAGCAAGAAAGCGGGTCTTGGCATTTACTACTGCCTACGCTAAATAAACAACTCACACCGACCCTTGTCCACTCTTCATCTCCACCACGCTGCTGGCATTTCTGCAGCCTTGGCTTTTTGGTTTTGAATGTTGATCCTTTCGTCTACTTGAGTAAGACATGCCCTCCACCCGCAAACCCCCTTTCTCATAGCAACCAATACAACCCGTCGCTGTGAAACCAAAACTCGGTGAGATGGCTGGAGTTGGATGTCTCACTTCTCCTTGCTGGCCTAGTCGAGGACAAAGTGAAAAACAATATACCCGGCCTGCGCGAATCTTTGCTTCCCCGCAGGGGCAGCCGCGAAACGCGCTGTCGCAAGCAAACAACCAAGTCTCATGAGGACATTGGAACCCAGCAAACCGACGTTATACACAGCCATTTATATTCACATCTCTTGCATACAAGTCGATTGAGCTTCGAATCTGCGCATTTATTGGCTCGATCTTCATCCGACCATAACCTTCTGGGATACCAACGCCGGCCAGAATGGATCCTTTTAGGTACCGTAAAGCTTATGAAGCGATGCTGCATACAACCCAGCTCATTGAGGATCGATTAAGACAAGACTTTGGACCCGACGAGGAAGAAGAAGCGACGGCTCAGAATGATGCACCGAAAGCTGCTTTTCTGGGACCAGATCCGGATAGCATGGATTGGACACCCACAGAGTCAGTCACTCCACCTCCGGAATGTGGACCGCCCCCAGCTTTGTCGAAGAAACTGCGACACCTTCTCCCTGGTGGCGGCGACGGTGATCTGCAAGCTGAAGACACGGGCGAAAATGCAGTGCTCCTTCACAAAATGAAAGAAGGCAAGATCATGGACGAATGTATCGACAAGCTAGTCAATGATCTACCCGATGTCTTGAGTTATCAAAAATCACTTTCTTTTACTCCTTCAACAATCGAAGTACCTAAGGATTTTGGCCTACAGCTGAGCATTTCAATCAACCACCATCTTGCTCAGATAGCTGATCGGAAAGCGTTGGAGAAGTACCGGAGGCTTCTAGGCCATCGTAAGGAAAACTCGAAGAAGAAAGCGGTGAAGCTTGGATTTGATCCAGTTGATCTGATCAAGAAGCAAGCTGTGGCTTTTGGGGAGAACGGACCTGCACCGTTGTGCACGCTTGACAATCACATCCACCCAATCTTTCGTTTGGAAAACTGGCATGGCTGTCCAGATGGGATTTATGAGGTGATGAAACCAGCTTTACAGCTTGCCACGTTGCTAGTGACCTCTCGGGCAACATCTCACTTTTGGCATACCCTCGTTTTTGGGAAGCGGGAGCGCTGTCAAGAAACTTCAGCAATGTATGGCCAGCCATGCCTTCGTATCAAGGAAGACGTAACATGGTCTGAAGAGCGCGGAACAACATTCAGAAACTTCCTGGACAACCAAATCGACACTTTGCACTTCTACTTTCATCACGATCCTCTACCGCCAGAGACTGCATACGCGTCAATGGGGTTGGTAAAGGACTATAAGAATGGTTTGATGCGAAAAATCAACCACAAGTGTCATACTAGCCGGATCTGCTTGCATTCAGACTTCTACACTACCGCCAAAAAGCTCAGCCTCTTACGATATCGCGAACCAGCCATGGTATTGCGATACAACATGTTTTTGGCTACATGCCTGGCACATGAAGTAGCGCATTTCTGCGAGGTCTCTGGACCGCATCACGACCACCCTCTGCTTTCTGAGCCAGAAGTTTTCTTTGGCGACAACATGTGGACAGAAAGTGGAATCTCTTTTGAACTGAAAATCTTTGGTGGTCGCATACACCCTTTATCCAGCCGGATCGATTGTAAATTTGGGCTGGCTTGCCTTGACTATCCGCTCAAAGAGCTTTATGACAAAGACGACAATGTCTTGTATGCTTTACCAATGGAGTACATTCTCAAGCTCCAGCAAAAGGAGACTTGGGAACAAGACTTCAGCAAGACTGGCGATGATGTGTTCTTCGTTCCTCGCACCGGTGGCAGATCAATAGAGATTAACGGGACCAACCTCATGATTTGGGAAGATGAGAATGATGCAGATATTTCAGATCACATCGACAATGAAGATACAGAATGGATGCGCATGGACGATGGCTCCATCGCGAGGAACCCGAAAGCTAGCAACCGCAAGCCACAGCGTCAGCCCGTAGTACCACGATGGAATCCGTATAGCAATCAAAAACGGAAGAATATTGTTGAAGTAAACGCACCGTGTGTTTCCACGGAAGTGGTTGAGATCAAAGACGAGGAAGAGAAAGTACCTCCAGGGCTAGAAGTTCCGGAAGATATAGAGGGTAGCAAAAGTGGCTCGGATCAGGACATGATTTGAAGTCGAGCGTTTTTCATGCTGTTGGAGTATACTTGGGCAAAACAAACAAACGGGAGGAATTATTGATCATCAGTTGAATACCATTGCATCTACGGGGGGCGCTGTTATCTTAAATCTTGAACTATAATTTGCTCTTCTTACAAATTCTTGGAGATACCACACGTGATTTCATAGAAAACATAAAGCAAAGCCTTGAGGCATCTTCTGTCCCATTTCATGGGTATCTGGAAAGGATGAGGAAGGACGGGCTTGACCATTTTCGAGCTAGCGCTATGTGTTCGCTTAGGTTGCGGCGTGAATCTTGGCAGAGTCACTGAGTCCGAATTCTGCTTCCTGACACGACGGACGCCCAACGTTAGCATTCTCGCCGAGTCCTCCCACGACGTATACCTCCGACTTCACAATGGCGGACACTCAGAAGGATGTGCTGTTCAAGACAGTACAGATCGATGCCCTGGTACGTTGGAAAAGCGCAGAGGCAGCACCCCACTGTGCGCCCCGCTATTGTGCCATCAAGATGCTTTTCTCCAGTGAGCTGCAAGAGTGAGAGGCTGACGTTTGGCCTTCAGGTTGCGATTAAGATTGCCACTGCTAGCGGCAAGTCGTTCCCTTCGATCGCGACTGGCAGCATAGTCGGTATGGAGAAGAACAATGTCTTGGAGATTACAAACTCTTTCCCCTTCCCCGACGTCTCTCCCGCACAGGCCGACGGACAGAATGAAACCGCCGCAAACCTCGCCGCAGCCGCCCCTCGCGCAAAGCAGAACATTGCCTACAGCAACGAGATGATTAAATTCCTCCGTGAAGTCAATGTAGATGCGAACAACGTAGGCTGGTATACCAGCACAAGCATGGGCAACTTTGTCAACTTGAACACAATCGAGAACCAATATTTCTACCAGAGCCAGCCAAACGAGAGGACTGTCGCCTTGGTGTATGACGTGAGCAGGAGCTCGCAAGGTACCCTGAACCTGCGCGCATATAGGCTGTCGCCCTCGTTCGTAACAGCATACAAGGAGGGCAAGTTCACAACTGAGAGGTATGTAGGCACATCCGCGAAGCCTGAGAGTGGTGCTAACAAATGCAGTCTACAAAAGAGCGGCCTTCGCTACCACGACATCCTAGTTGAGCTTCCAGTAACCATTCACAACTCGCACCTCCTCACCTCTCTTTTCCACCAATTGCCGTCGAGCGCACCAAAGGAGGAGCTTAAGTTCCCACCCAACCTAGCTGCTCTGCAGCAAGATCCCAACATCCCTCAGCCACCTCTGTTTCCCAACTACGACTCGCTTGATCTCTCCATCGACCCATTCCTGGAGAAGACGTGCGATCTACTCCTCGAGAGCATCGAGAATCACCACACTGAGATCAACAACTACCAGTACTACCAGCGATCTCTCGCTCGTGAGCAGGCCAAGATTACTGCCTGGCAACAAAAGCGCAAAGCAGAGAATGCTGCGCGCACTGCCTCTAAGCAGTCACTCCTCCCAGAAGACGAGTGGCAGCGACTTTTCAAGCTGCCCCAAGAGCCAAGCAGACTGGAGACGCTCCTCAATTCGAGGCAGGTGGAGCAGTATTCAAGGCAAGTGGATGGCTTCACGGCGGGTGTCACGTCCAAGATGTTTGCTGTTAAGAGCAATTTGCTGCCCGGAGAGTAAATGGAGGTGGGTCTGGTTGTGTTTATGATTATGCTTCTCTTCGTCACGGCATGGGCATGGCGTTGTGGGTTAGCGGTTCCTTTGACGGGACTGGGTTTGATCTTTTAGACGAGAGGAAAAGGGCGGATATGCGAAGAGACGTTTGTAGCGTGTGCTTGAGTGTCGAGATGACCCAAAGTTGGCGGTGCTGCCAAAGCGTTGAAGCTCAAGCGCTGCCCAGTCAGGCGGCTGAATGCTGTTCTAGGCGTGCAGCTGGGCAAAAGCCACATACAGAGCTGAATCAGACAAAGTAAACAAGATAGTGTCGCAACATAGACTAGGGACTCTCCATGTGAAGCGCGTATCTCGAGCTAGAATACATACATATATACTTACACATACCCAGCAATATCAGGCGGCAAGCCGGCTATCGGGGACCATCGGGAAAGCAGCCTCTGTCACGGAAACGGCTTGGGCTAAAGCAGCGTCCAACAACGGCGCCATCATGCAACAAGCCTCTTCGCCCGTCCTCCAGCAGCAGCTTCGATTGCACCCTGAGTCTCTTCAGACGCTCCACCAGTCGACCGATGGCACGTTGTACTCCCACCACCACCAGGGGCTGCCCGAGCTTCAGACCCTACACACCACCGACATAGTATACCAACAACCATACGCCCTGACCGGCCCACCCCAACCACAGCCTCCGTCGCATGCCCTGCCCGTCCACTTTGAGCAGCGTGGCCTGCCGCCTTCTGGATCCTATCCACCATTCCCGGCTGCGAGCTACCAGCAACATGTCGCCAGCCCGCGTTTCATAGATGCGCCCCCTCCCCCGCTCCAGGAACATACCCAACAACACTACCATATCGCTGCACCCGAGGTAGCGCAAAAGCCAATTCAGCAGCTCCCTTTCTCGCCGTCTGTACCGACCACACTCCAAACGACCCATCCCTTGCCACAGCACGTAGAACAGGCGCCTCTCCAGCAGCAGCAGCAGCAGCAGCAGCCGCAACCGCAACCACAACCGCAGACGCAGAAGCAGCGTCAGGAAGGGCGCGACGGGTATGTTGACACCACCTGCCACAATCAAGATCGCGTTGAAGGTTTTTGTACGCACATCAGCTGTTAATTCACTACACAAAAGCTGCACAGACTCTTTCAACTCGTCTAAACGTGAATACTGCTGTTCTGTTAGACAGCTGCTGATAATATGACAGTGATGACGCCCCATTCTCGAGCCATGGCCAATTTCAAGGCCTCAAGCTCATTCCGAACCCGCCAAATTTAGAAGAATGGAGAAAAAGGCTTTTTCACGTGGATGACATGATCACGTTGACCGAGGAGCAGTAAGAACTTCCATGCTTATTTGTATGATTGCGTCCTAATCCGAATCAAGGTTCCAAACCTATTTCCCACACATCGACAACATCTACTCGCATCGCTCGACGCAAAAACACAAACGCAAGCGCTTTGTATCCCATTACTGGGACTGTCGGCTAAAGGGGCGTCCGCCAGGGACCAAGAAGTCCACAGACCCAGACAAGAAGAAGCGGAAGAGAGTAGCGCGAGAGCGAGATTTGTGCGATGTGAAGATCAAAATCACCGAGTTTTTTGATCGTCAAGAGTATGAAGAACAGCTTGGACGCCCGCCTCCAGGTACCGAGAATGACGGTCCAAGTTCGATATCAACACAACCACCAATGAACCCGGGCCAGGTGGTAGATCAAAATCAGAGCCCAAATCCTCAGTTCTTCGGTCAAGGTCCTTTGCTGTCACAACAGCCAGCTGGAGCTTGGGACATGCCTCCAAATATGAGCGGCCAACCAGAGGTGAGCCTACAACAGTATATGCCGCCACCCAGTCTTCCGCCCCAAAAGTTCTACACCTTTCAAAGGGTGAACGGGAACGGTGGAAATGGCAAAGGTGATGGTGTTGCTGGACCACATAAACATACCCTTGAAGAAAGTGATCGAGTGAAGAAGAATAGTGTTATCAGATGGCAGATGAAAGCGGACAAAGAAGACAAAAAGAAATCGCATGTAAGCTCCTCATTTCCATTGTGTGTTTCACGTTACTTTCTCGCTCTGTTGAAATGCTTGGTCACGATAGCGTGTAACGAAGGCCCATTATGCCAACGAATTGAGCGCATATGTCATCTTGATGCTTGCCTAAAACCCTCCACCCCAGCATTTCGTATGCGCGGATTTTGCTCTACTTGCACTTTTGCCCCATTTTCTTCACTAGACAATTCTTTTGTGCTTCAGCACAGCGTTAATGCCTTTTGTTTTCAATCCTATTCGCGCTATCATCTGTCAAGCACCATCACTCTATACCAGTCGTCTTTTGTCTTGCCCGACCGTCTCTTACCAATCTACCTATTTCCCCGAAACTCAATTCAAGTTAAAATTCACTACCATATCTGTACGACATAAGATGACCGATACCAACCAGGGCGGAGATCCTTCCAAAAAGACATACCACAAAAAGGCCACTGGCAATGCTTTGACAACAGTAAAGAACCACTCAAAAGAAGATGATCTCAAGTTGTACGGCAGCGCATTTTGGTAAGTCTTCTATCTAGATCCGAAAGCACGCCATATAATTGGATGACGTCATACATGCAGTGCTAACATGACAAAGCCCTTTCGTGCAGCGTGTCTGGATATCACTAGAGCACAAGCAGATACCCTATCAGTACATTGAAGTCGATCCCTACAAAAAGCCACAGAGCCTTCTTGACGTCAATCCACGTGGTTTGGTACCTGCGATTAGGCATGGCCCAACATGGTCAACCCATGAGTCTACGGTAATTATGGAGTATCTCGAAGACCTCCAGAAAGGGCCGCCTCTCCTACCTCCTGATGCCCAGAGCCGTGCTACGTCAAGACTCTGGTCCGATCACATCAATCGCAACATTATTCCTTGCTTCTACAAGCTCCTCCAAGCTCAGGACCAAAACGATCAAGTTTCGCATGCCACCGAGTTTCGTAATCAAATTGGAAAGCTCGTCGATGCAGCAGATCCTACGGGGCCTTTTTTCCTTGGTCCCCATATTTCTTTCGTAGACGTGCAGATTGCACCTTGGATCATCCGGTTACGAAGAGTGCTGGGGCCATACAGGGGATGGCCAGAGGCCGAGGCAGGGAGCAGGTGGAAGCAGTGGGTCGATGCAATTGAAGCGGATAAGAATGTAAAGATGACTACGAGCACCGATGAGCTTTATCTGGATAGCTACGAGAGGTATGCTGAAAACAGACCGGGAACGAGTCAGCTAGCAGACGCTGTCAACAGCGGCAGGGGGCTGCCTTGAGCGTGGCTATTGGACTTGAATGTAATAGTACACATGAGGAGGTTAATTCAGATCCTTGTAGTCTGTTCCAATGCTAATCCATACAACTGATGGACAATAACCTGACATTGATAACGACCCATTTGTATACAATTTTCGCGTCATGGTTGCAAGCCGGACACGGCTCATGGTGCTAAATAACAAACCACGGAAGATTTTAGTAAGGGATCTAAGTATACGTCGATGTCCAAAAAATGCATTGACCAAAAGCAAACGTCAGGCACGCGAGCCCTGAACGGCAACCCACTAGCGTGTTCCAATGAGGGGCACCTATGCGACCGCGGGGCAGCCGCAAGCAAGTCTCAACACCAAGCACGCACCCTGTAACTCACCTCTACCTCCAACCTGCAACCGCCAATATGTTTAAGAAAGAGTCAGCTTCATTTCCTAGCTCATATTTACAAAAACAAAAAAAGAAGCTAACAAAACCGCAGCATAACCCCCGGCGCGAAATCCAAAGTAAAATCCAGCGCGCAACGCGGTATCCGCTCCAAAGTCCTCGAAGAGTACCCAAAGCTAGAACCGTATATCGAAGACATACTGCCCAAAAAAGAGCAATTGGACCTCGTAAAGCTGTACGTATCACTTGCATATACCAACAGTGGCAGTCTATACGGACATGCACCGCCAACACTAACCACGACACTTTTATGAGAAGATGGAAAACTAATAGTGATTTACCCAAACATTAGACCCGACCGCGTATCCCTCTACACGCTAAACTCGACACCCCTCTTCTTCCAACACATGGACGACGCACTCCTCCCGCACCTTACCCTCGTGCACAAATACCCCTTTGCATTCAACCGTCTGCGCATCGACCGCGGCGCAATCCGCTTCGTGCTCTCAGGCGCTACGCTTATGGCGCCTGGTCTCACATCTCCTGGTGGCCGCCTACCAGGTGCTGATTTGAGCGATGAGGATAAAGAAAAGTACGGGGCGGAGGAGTTGAAGGAGGGTGCGGTCGTGGTTATTGAGGCGGAGGGCAAGGAGACAGCGTGTATGGTGGGCGTGCTGAAGATGGGGACTGAGGAGATGAAGAAGGTTAAGAAGGGGCAGGCGTGTGAGACGGGTCATTATCTGGGAGATGGGCTGTGGGGATTGAAGTTGGATTGAGAGAGAGAGAGAGAGAGAGAGAGGATGGCGTGGAAATCAATTGATGGAGTGATGATAGGAGTACGAAGTTTACAGGTTCGTGGATCGAGCAGCACAAGGGCTGCAGATATGATTCTTTTTCTGGGAAGCTGGATAGATGTAACAGCTGGCTGCAGAAACTCTTGAAGATTATGCCTGCGAACGCGCCTCAGGAATGCGTCGAGGTCACAAGAGTCACATAGGTAGCAGCGTTCCAGTAAGTGACACGAAACCACCAAAGCAAGTGAACATGGTATCATTATTTTGCTCGTAAACTACACTTTGTAGCAATCCTGCTATCGCCTGTACTATACTAGTCGACGACTTATTGGGGGGCTCCTGCTCCGCGACCAGCACCAGCACCAGCACCTCCGCCTCCACCCATAAAGTTGCGGGCCCTAATACGTCGTTAGCTTTCGTAATGTTTTCGTTAAGTCACTTCGCTTACATCTCAGCTATGCTCGGGTCATTCATGAGATCCGAGATGTTGGGCATGCCACCACCACTTCCGCCTGCACCTCCTCCTCGTCCACCGCCGCCGCCACCAAACTGTTGAGCCATCTCCGCTATCCTAGGGTTGTTCATGAGATTATTCATCATATCCGGATTGCTCATCAGGTTCTGGGCCATTTGCCTCATCATCGGGTTCTGCATGAGACCGGCGAGATCAGGCATACCGCCACCGCCTCCACCGCCGCCGAGCATACCAGCCAGCGAAGAGAGGTCAGGCATGCCGCCACCTGCACCACCTCGAGGCGCATCGGCAGCGCCGACGTCTCCACCCTCTTCTTCTACCTTTCTCTTGGCGGTCTCGTATCCCCTGCGCATGACATCTGAGCCACCGCCCTCAGCATCCATACCGGATTTGTACGCCTCCATAGCACCCTTTGCGTCACCAAGCACAAACTTTGCGAGACCAAGACGCGACCATGCTTTGGAGTAGTTGGGGTCGGCAGCGACTGCCATCTCGGCGTCCTCCTTAGCCAACTCGTGCTTGCCCTGACCCGAGTACGCCGCGGCGCGGTTGGAAAGGTAGATGGGGTTAAGTGGTACGATTTCCAGCGCAGCAGTGTAGTGCTTGACGGCAGATTCGTAATCCTTCTTCTTCATCGCCTCGTTACCTAATCCCTTTAGCCTCTCAGCTTCATCCTTGTTGGGTCCACCAGGTCCTGATGCGCTAGCAGCAGGCGTCTGTGGTGTTGCTGGGCGAGCCTCCTTTGCAGATGAACCGCCCTCAGTGGTCGCGGTCGTTTTCCCCTTCAGCTTCTCATAGACGTTGTAGATTGCGAGTAGGTTCTGGTCACCAATTGCATCCTTCTTTGCAGCCTGATCGTCGAGGTCGACCTTGAACGCCTCGCTGATGCAGTTGGCGGCAACCTCGAGCTGTTCCGCGTCATCGGGGGCTACTGAGCCATCGGTCTGCGAAGTCTGGAGGAAGTCGATGATCGCAAGCGCAAGGCGCTTCTTGGATTGGAAAGCCTATTGTTGTCAGCTAAGTTTACTTGCATAGAGTGGGGCAGCTTACCATGATGGCTGTATGTCTGCTGTCTGAAGGCGTGTCGCGAACTGGCTGTAGAGTGTTTGGCACTATTTCGCTCTAGCAGTATACTTCGTGACACGTGTTTTACACCGTGTGGAGGTTGTTGTTGTTGATTGCGAGTGTGGCGCGATAGCATTTCGACTCGAAGCTTCCTTCGGACCATTGGCGGGGCAGCTGGTCAATGCCAAGCTCTACTACCTCCAGTCTCTAGGTTAGCATGGGGACATGTCATGTAATCAGAAGAAAGAGATCTATTTCTCGGCAAGAAACTTATATGGTATCATTCACGCTGCTAGATGCTATCATGGTACATGTCTACTCTTACAGGTCTCAACTGCTATAAACACAAGATAGAAGGGGAGATGGTGGTATATGCGGGTGCTTTAGTCGTCACTCAATCCTTCCCAAGCGGCTTTGGGCTTCTCTTTTGGCCAGAGAGAACTGAACCAAGATGATCCTGCTGGCACAGAAATGCTCTTTGCACGCTCTTCAACCTCAGCGTCCAGCGCGAAGCGCCTCATGCGTTCTGTGATCCGCGGATCTAGCACCATGTCCTCTAATAAGACCCTCTCTTTTGTCTCTCCTTCTTCCCGCTTCTTCGCGCTCTTGTGCCAGTCTGGCTCTTCATGTGCAAGTATTTGTTTTTGTTCTGGCTCCCTGTCGATGCCCTCACCTGAAGACTCGAAAGGTCGATACGCACCCAGGACTGCGGCTGCAGTCTCTCTACCAGCGGCTTCCGCTACCTTTCGCTGATTCAAGAAGCGGTACATTCGGATTGGGAAATTAAAGAAGCCGAGAAGGTGGGGGAAAGGAATGACGGCAGCAGGACCGAGGGCCTGTGGGCAGTTTGGAGAGAGCGTCGCGTTCTGATATTCAGCTGTCGTAATAAAAGGCGGAGGTTGCTTCTTCTTCGTTTTCTTCTCTTCCTCTTTTGGCTTTCCCGCCTCTTCTGGTTTTTTGGGGTTGGTGGTTGCTGTGGGGGATGCGTCGTCGGTTGTAGTAGGTACGGTGGTAGTGTTTTCCACTGGCTTTGCCTCTATCAACGGCTCTGGCGTTGGCGGAGGGCCCAATGGACCCAACCAGCCCTCATGCAGTCCCCGCACATATTCTTTCCATGTGTGTCGTCCAATAACAATATCTCCTCCTGGACCAGGCCACTCACTTACTCCTGCTCTTTGCCTTAAGCCTTCCAGCTCCTCCGCAAGGCCTGGTTCTATCGGCTCAGCAGTTGGCTCTCCTCTCTTCTTCCTCAACTTTCGTATCCGCTCTGCTAAACCTGCTCTGACGTCCCCTTCTCTTCGACCCTCGACCGCATCCCAGTCCATCGCTGCTGCGACAAGAATAGGCTTAACATATTCGTGAAAGTGATCGCGCACAGATACCAAGCCATCCATTGGCGGTGCAGATAGATATACAGTGAGCTTTCGGGGTAGCTGATGTACATCGAGTGGCTCATGTGCAATATGTTCCACCACGGTTGCCCATTTCTTTTGTATGCGCCTTTTCTGTCGGCGATCGTACGTTACCGCCGCAGTCCACGATCCAGTAATAGAAAGAAATATCATCCAATTGCGCGATGGTAGCCTGAAGCGAAAGTTTGGCAGGCCTGTGACTGTTAGTTGGAAGCCTACACGATGCAGGAGAAAAAACTTACCCATCATTCTCCATACAGGATTCGGAGGCCTTGGGCGTTTCCCAGACCCTGAGGATGTCCCGCCAGCGGGCGGAGTCTGCGCACCTGGTTCGGCCATGGTGGTGTTGGCTGAGAGGGCTGTTGGAGTGTTGCTTGCGCATCTAGAAAATTTCCCGACCGTCGGCAAAACCGGAATCGAATCGGAACGGGCGACCTAGCCAAACACTGTTCCCGATCCAGTCTCGCTCCAGCTCAACATTCTCCGATGAATATGCATTAGCCATCGATTTACAATTTTTATTATACCGTAGCTTAGAGAATTAGGGTACACTCTGATGTTCATTCCTGGTGTAAGGGCAATGTATATACTATGTGCAAACTGCATATGCCTTAAGAGCTAGTTTGGACTGGTACTTTATTTAAAGAAATGATCTCGTTAAAAGCATCAAAGAAACCATGCAAGATTCAACTTCAAGTCCAAAGATACCTATGAATACATTTGACTACTGTTCCTATCGCAGTGTCTCGGCGTGGGCCGATAGAAGATTACCCAACTGAATATGTATTCATAAAACGAACCGCCCATAGTTAATACCGTTTGGAGTTGATATGCGTGAGGTATATCCAAAGGGGGTCAGCTCTTCTAACTATTTTCCAATTCCGACACTGCACGTGAAAACATGAGGCACACGATTTTGCCGGGGTCCCATGCCCCACCACTACATAGGCGACGGCGGGCCTGCGAACCGCATTGCTGTCGAAGCAACATACTTATCAATTTGCTTGCGATATATTTATTCTAACTTCTCAAACTTCCATCAAAACAACATCAAACACCTTAAGGTGGTATGGTCTAGTGGTATGACGTCGCGTTGTGGCTGGNGGACAACTCTGTTGTCCCGATCCAGATCCGCGCCAGCCTGGGTTCGAGTACGTTCAACCTCACAAAACATTGGTGGTCCTGAGACATCTTCTAACATGTCTACAGTTCCCAGTACCGCCAAGTATTAGCGACATCCTTTTTTTTGGCTCTTTCAGCGTCCATGCTTACTGTTCACGTGCTTAGTGTTCGGTGCTGCTAAGTAGCTCTTTTTTTATTTCTTTCTTTATTAGGAATATTGATGAACGCGCAATATAAGTCGTTTAGCTCGTATAAAATGTACAGGGGGCCTGGTTAGATATGCATAAATTCGACGCTTGCGTATCAACAATTACCGATAATCTTCGGTGCAGGGTAGATCACAACAATAAGACTGGAATACTTTTTTTGGCAACATGAAGTCTGTCTTCTTGTCCTATAATTTTTCTCTGATATCATTCCTTGGCTATCACTCGAATCATCAGCAGAACGACACCTTGACTGAGTTGTCGTATAGCCATGCTAGTCGTGCCATTTAAGTCACATCCAACAGTAGACAATGCTTCTTCTTCCTCCACAGAAAATGATTAATCATCTCACCGCCGGTTGAATTCTTGCGTACTGACGAGAATTCATGTTTTTTTTGCCTGCAAGTACTATATTCTGAAATGTCCTATGTGTGCGACAAAGGCCTAAACTGGCGTGGAAGAAGCGGTTGGACGGCATGTGCCGCACTTCAATCTCCACTTGCTCAGATAGGCCCGGGTTGTACAGGATCTGAGTGAAGCGCAAACAAACTCTGTCGAATGCTGGCTAGGGAGTCTTGTAATCGGAAGGATTGACTGATCTATTCAGGTGTAGGCAGACAGATTGCACATAGTGATTCTCAACTGTACGCGCGCTACCAGCATGGCAATTGTGGGATGTATCGAGGTACTGTGTAAACCCTAGGACAAAAACGTGTAAATGCCTCTGGGGCGCCTCTGAGAGGCGTGGTTCGAATCATGGTCTAGTATATACGTATGGGATTCGTTTTGTGAGTCGTAGACTGAAGCGAACGTGGAAGGGAAGATAATCGGCTTATGTAGGGATATCGAACGTGGAATTATGTATCTTGTGGCTTATCGAGGCGTTGGGCTACGAGGGGGGTTTCTCGGGTGGTTCGAGGAACGTGCTGGCGGTGATTTGCGGGCGGTGGAGGATAAGACGCCTCGTAGGTGATTGTGGACTGTTCTACGTGTTTATGTGAGATTGTGTAGAAAGGTGTATCCAGCGCCGGCATAGCTATTCGTGAGTGGACTCAGAATACGCACCTTTGTGTCAGACTTCAGTGCGAAATCCTAGCTAAATACGGCAAGATTGGACACGAGAGCTGTGCTAGGACACGCGGGATGGCATCCGTGGTAGTTGTGCTTGCCAGTCTGCTTCGTTTTGTCATGGCAGTCGTTGATATGTCGCTGGGGAACAGAGTCACCATATCTGACAAGTTTTCGCAGTGCTGTCAAGTGTGGCCTCGCAATTATCACAGTCATTGGTCAAGGGAAACCAATCCCTCGGAACCGCCTTTAGCGAAACGGTGGGCCTTGTCTAGCGTATATGCAAGGATATTCAGAAAAACAGGCTTGGTGATAAAAACGGCAATACGACAGAGGAGTGGCCAGGCTCGAGGCCCTATTCGACGAGGAGGGTTGGGGTGGACAGATTCAGATTGGAGGGCAAATGTAAACTTGTAGAACTCCTTGAGAGAGACAGAGAAATTGTTGACAGCCAAGGCTTCCTCGAAGACATTTCTAGTCACAGCTTAGGGGTATACTTGATCAGAGACGACTAGTGATATTATTGTTTCGACTTACAGCTGGAAGACAAGATAAAGTATGGATACAAGATTTGAATTCGACGCCTCGATAAGGAGAAGGTAGATTTTGGACGCATAGAAGATGTAGACTGCCAGTTCTCCTGCGTAATTCCGGGAAGAAAGGACATCGACGCGCGTGTCTCGTTGTAGGTGGTGGCGGAATCAAGGGGTGGGGGACACTCCTCCACGGGTCCCCCCGCCCATCTATGGAACGGCTGTCAAAAGGCGGCTCATCGGTTGGGCGGAGCGATCTCCGAAACGTACGTAAGATGGTAGTTCTCATGAGTGCCTCACTGGCTCTTTTCTCTCGTTGGTACATCTGCCGTTCTTGGCTCTAGCTCCTGGGTATCCCCGCTGCTGCCGCCAGCACCAGCACCACCGCCGCCGCCGGCGGCGGCACTCTCAGACTCGGTCTTTTCTTCATCTTCAATGCCGCTGGCGCTCCCTCTCCTGCTCTTAGTCGGGCTCCCATCGGCACTGGGCTTGTTGCCCCCAATCTCCGTGGCAATCTGCATAAGCACATTGCCATGAGTAATAGTTTCGACAATGTCCCGCGGCTCCTCACCCGCCCTGATTCGTGCTAGTGTCTCGGACGCGTCCTCATACGGCAGCGACTTGAGTAATTCGAACAGTTCTTCTAGGTCCTGATGCTTACGCTTGGTTTGGGCAGTTTCGGTTTCCTTGTACTGACACTGGCTGTCACGAGCCGCACACTCACTACACTGAGGGCGCTCACCATTACACTAGAAAGATACACATCAGACGCCGTCTATACCGCTTTGCTTGCTCATGTAGGCACTAAATCTGTACCTTGGTTTTGCGAGTTCTGCATGCCGCGCAAGCTAGGGTTACGCGAGCTCGCTTTGACTGTGTGGGCGGAGGCTCGCTCCTGGGTGATGTTGCGGGGAGCAGAGCACGAAGAGGCCTGCCCCCAGAGTTTTCCCATGGAGTAGCTGGGTTTGACTGCTGTGATTGCATGTCACAGGCGGCCAACAGAAGCCGAATGGGGCAAAGGCCGCTTATCTGCTTGAGAGAGAGGAGCCGGGCGAGCCACGAGTACAGAAGGGGAGGGTAGGGAAGAGTTCCACAAACCAGCGAGTGGGATAAAATGGTAATGACAGAGAAGTGCGGGTGCGATCGGTTCCAAGTATGAGATTGTGACGAAAGCACTGCACCGACGTAGGGTTTGGGGGAAAAAATTGCCGCGGTCTTGCCTGTACGACTGAAGAGACTGGTCGTCTTTCTAGTCTCTACCCTCTGGAATGTTACTGTTACCCAACCAGCCCCGATCTGGGCACTCAGACACTCGACATTCTTTCCGTATCGAATTGCTGAATGTAGCCCGAGCTCAGGTCCTCGCAGCATGTCTGCGTCCGCATACGTGTAAGAAGGCCGGCTATCCGCCCGCCAATCAGATTGCGCGCTCAGGGCGGTTTGCCACTGCGCCTGCGTCCATCGCATCCTGCCTACAGGCACATACCGGCACGACGACTGATGCAGTAAAGCCCCAAGAGTCATTCATGCTTCTTTTTCAACCGCCAAACAACATGGTTGGAAGAAGATTCCAGCTGAGTGTACATCCATGACCGCCCTGCATACGCCCATAGCCAACTCTCCAGACCACGGGGCGCTGGAGAGGAGTGGAGCCGCTGCTGCTGTCCGTGGAGTGTTTCTTTTACTTTCTTCTCTGTCGGTCGCCTTTGCCCGTGCTGGCCCAGAGCCAAAATTTGCTGGCGGCCATAGCAGAGGAATCCCATCAAACAGGTTTATTCCCATGCGAGCCACGTGATCTGGGTCTGCCCCTCCCCCATGCCGCTAGTGTTTGAGGACTTCGTGGTCTGATTGATAGACAGAGAAAAAAAAAGATAGCCACCCTGCTGCTCCAAGGTGGGGTACATAGTGGCCATTTCCATGTTCCGGAAGTGCACAGTCTTGCACTTACATGGTATGCAAAGACGGTACATGCTTAGGCGCACTCCGCTTTTCCCCATTACAGTCCCATTATAGAGGAATTGCTTGTAGGGCTATGCCCAAGACAAGCAGAAGGATTGCGTAAGGGGGAACCGCTGAGCAGATCCATGTGCGTGGAATGCCTCGTGCGGACCGCCCTGCGCGGAAGACCCTCCGCGGAGATGCGATCGAGATCTAAAATAGACCTCACGTCTCGCCTGCAGCTCTTGGCCAGTATTGTCACTCGGATACTATAGGTGTACATATGAAATTGGCTGGGGGGGCGATGCGGAAACAAAATGGCCACATGGACAGAGCGTTTATTCCCGTGAAGACAGTGGCTTGGCTTGGCCCATAGTGGAGAAGACGGGGGGGATTGTGCACAAGAGCAGGTGCTAACGATGAGAGATGGGAGCTTCATCATCCGATGCTCAAGTTCTAGGCTGTAAGAGTTTTATGTTCAAGAGCAAAAAAAGCAGCTGACATGGCTCACCGTACACGCTTACCCACCCATCCATGTACACTTGATATTGATCTGCATACCTACACTATAGACGCTAACCAGAGAAATAGGCGTAAGACCAACATGTGTGAGAAAAACTAGGCACGGCGGGTAGTTACACTGCAGGGATCCTGCATAGGTCCTACTACTTCTGGCACATGACTCCGTCGTCAATCTACGCTTTCTTGTTGGGAGTGCTATGAGTACACACATATGCACACAACAAAACCTACATGGCAAGACAATCGTCTTCTCTCGTAATGGATATTGTCTTCCTTATGCCTATCATCCCAGTGCTGCTCAATACTCGAAGTCATCATCAACGCTAGGCCCCTTGTTCTTGGCCACACTTTCCTGTCTTTGGTACATTTCCGCAATCATACGACTTGAACTCGCCTGATCCGGCTTCTTGTCCTCCCTCTCCTTAATGAAACGTGGGAAACGTAAACTGACACCCTTGCCACCGCCACCGACTTCAGCTGCGGCTGCCTTGTACCGCGGCGACAAGGTAAGATCTGCAGTCTTGACCTCCCAGACATAGCGCGGCTCGAACCACACATCAGGCTGGTCTTTGTTACCACTCGAATGTGTGTAGAATGGCTTCGGGCGGTCAATGACAATCTCGGAAAGCGTCTTGTGCAGGGTTTCCAGGATGGCCTCGGAGAAACCAGTGCCAATGTTGCACACTGTTTCGTACTTTTCCGTCGAAGGGTTGTAGCACGCGAGCAAAAAGGCACCATACCAGCTGGTACGCTTGCCCTTGCCGTAGTAGGCTCCCAACACCACAAGATCCAGGGAATCGCCGACACCGGCAAGATAGTCCTTCTTGACCTTGAGCCAATTCTGCGAGCGCTTGGATGGCTCGTAGTAAGATTCCGGCCCGTCCAACATCTTGACCATGAGACCTTCACAGCCTTCCTTTACTGAGTCTTCAAGGAGCGTCTGAATCTCCTCCAGTTCGTTGGTATTGCCATACTTGGCAAATGCAAACTCGCCTTCGACCGGTACGAAGGCTTCTTTGAGATGCTCGCGACGCTCACGGAATGATTTCGTTACCAGTGCCTTATTATGTCAGCAATTGGTCACCAAGCACGAGTCGTCATACATACCTCGCCATTGAGATAGAGGATATCAAAGGCAAAAACGCAAACCTTGACCTTGACATCTTCGACCTTGACATCCTTTCTCTTCCTCGTCATGAGCTGTTGAAAAGGCAGTACCTTCTTCTCTACCATATCCCAAGCAACAGTCTCACAGTCAAGAACGAAGCTCTTTGTGCCTTCTTTAACCCAAGTCGGCAGTTTGGCGAGAATATCAGGATACTTCTTGGATAGATCCTCAGAGTTGCGCGAGAAAATGTTAGACACGCCACGCTCGCTCTTGCCAGCGCTGGGTGCTTCAGTAGCTAGCTCTATCTTTGCATCGTGAGCGACAAAGTGAATCTGTGCGCGCTCTCCGTCATACTTGTACTCGCAAGTAAAGTCCTTGCCTTCAAAGCGATCCAAGACCTCCGTGATGGACTTTGTTGGCTTGGCAAGCATAGGCTTCAGAGGTACACCAGGCTGTAGGCGACAGTTCTCGCGCAGATTCATGATGCCGTGCTCAATCATCGCTGGGATGATGACTTCGTAACTTGGCAGCTCGCTGTAAACCGTCTTTAGCATAGCTTCTGCTTTGCCCAAATCCTCGGTCGATGGCGTCTTGCCCTGAAGCGACATCTCGTGGAAGATCATTGCCTGGGCGACAGCTACAACAACAGTCCTCTCAGCAAGGCCCAGTCGAAGTTTACCCTCGAGGGTTCGGACGATGAATTTGGCTTCACTGGGTCCACCCTTGTCCTTCTCAATATCAACGTTCTTGCCAGAGTTGTGTGCATCTGCGGCGGATAGCAATTTCTTGATTCCATCGACCTTGCGCCCCTGAGCACCTTGCCCTTCGACGGTAGCGATGGCCATAAGTCCCTTGCGTACACCCTCGATTGTCAATGCCTTAGGTTTAAACATGGTAGGTTGTTTTGATCGACTCTTGGCTGCAACAAGGCCAAGGTCTCCGATTTCGTTCTGGTCGCTCTTGATGTGTTGTAAACTCCGCCCAGTACTCTCGGAAATTGCCTTCATGATTAGAGATTCGCCAATGCCGAGCTCAATGCCTGCATAATCGGCTGCAAGCTTGTTGACCATGAGCATGACAGTTGGCAGCATATCAGATGGAGTCAGCCGCAACACCTGTCTCAAGAACAAGGAGCAGTGTGCAAGAATCTCTAGGCGCTTCGTCGTCATCTCAATCTTCGAAAATGTTGTGCATAGCGCAGCATATGGAACTGGCTCGCCTGGTTTCCAGTCGGGATATGTGTCCTTGGTGTTGGACGCAAGGGTTGTCTGTACTTGCTTTCGTGCCTTGACCTTGACCTCTTCAGGCTCCTCTTCAGAGCTGACCACCTCATCCTCTTCTTGCTCCTTGCTCGATTCTGTTTCCTCCTTTGCTAATGCAGAAGACTTTTCAGCCTCCTTCTTGCCTTTCTTGCCCTGCTTGCCCTTGGCCTTTGTCGACGCTTCCTCTTCATCATCTTCTGGCTCTGTAGCCTTGGATACAGCAGCGGCTTTCTTTGACTTGGGTGATGTCTTTTCAGTCTTTGGTTTCGCAGCTGCCTTCTTCGGCGTCTCCTTCTCCGCCCAAGGTTTTCTCCGTTGGCGTTTGCTTGGAGGTTCTTCCTCAGACTCCTCTTCTACCTTTTCTTTGATTGGCCTCTTCTTGCCAGTCTCAGAGCTTACGCTGTCGATTTCCATTGCCTCGCCATCTGATTCTACTTGCTCCTTCACCGGCGCTCTGACCTCTGCATCTGAGTCGGCTTCCTCATCTTGTTCCTTCTTCAGGTCCTTTGGTGAAGATTGCGGCTCTTCCTGCGGTGTTGAATCCTTCTTGCTTGGCTTTGGCTTTGTAGAAAAGGCTAGTTTCGATTGTTGCTTTGCATCGCCGTTGGGTTTTCCAAAGAACTTTCTATTGGATATCAGTGAGCGCTGCACTACCACCAAAAGACTATTGAAGGGTGTAGTCGCACCCTAGAGTAGTCTGGGAAGACTTCACATACCCTAGTGTCGCCTGCTTAGGAGCCATGGCTGTGAGAGCACAACTATGATTCGCGCTCCAATGCAACAGTAGGCAATTTCGACGTAGCGAGCGGGGAGACGAATGCAAAGAACGAAGCGAGGGTTGCAAAGCCAAAGGGAGGCGCGATTTTAAACAGAAACGAGAAGCATTGAAGCGGAGGTGCATGCTCTGTTGGTAGGTAGGGTATAGTTGCCTAGGCAGGCAGGCAGGCACTCTACAAAGCGCGTCGCGCCTGGCTCGCCGCAAACGCGAAAGTCAAGCGGCCCCGGCCCCGGCCCCCAACCCCAAAGACCCCTGCTGACATCATTCATCCGACATGGATTAGGCGGCATTGTTGAAGCGTCATGACTTTGCCATTGCAAAATCACAAAGTCACACCACTGTACATGTAACAAGCAAAAGTAGATGATTTTCCAAACTGGCGTCCTACTTCTGGAAACACCGTGATCCTCCTCCGCCGCCCACCATGTCCAAACCCTCTGCGCAACCTCACCTCACGCCACAATTCTGCTTCAACCAAACTGCACTCCGAGGTGAGCGCCGCCCCTCGATCCCTTGCCAAATTTCTCCCAGCCCACTAACTAATACGCAAGCCGGCTGAACAATAGACTTCCTCCGCATATCCCGCAGCAGCATCGACGACTCGATAACACAGAATCTCAACGCTCTCCTCACCCCGGCGCAACGAGGCTTCGATCCCAATTCCACGAGCACACGACAGCTATCACCGCCGGGCCACGCCAGAGTCCTGGAGCCAGAGCAATGTGAAGGATTCAAGGAAAAAGTGCTATTCCCCAGCTGGGCAGTGCGATCAGACGTACTAGACTATTGCGCCGGCGTTGCGACATCGCCGGATCCAGACGACCCGGACAGTCTTCTACGTCAGATTGAAGATGCAAAGGCAAGAGAGCGCACAGTAGATGAGCGATTAGATCCATATTCTGGACGCTACTTTCCGGCAGAAGCCAGGACTGAGAGTCTGGCTAACCTCATGCGCAATGAGCGTGCGGTGGAGAAGATTATACGCATGCGCACATGGAGTGTGCTGGGCGAGCGATGTGGAATCAGCAGCGAATCGGCAGACGATGCATTTGACAAGTGGAGGGTGGCACGACAGCGCTGAGGGAGCATTATAGAGCTTGATTAGACAGCATAGCTGTGTTTGCATAGCGTGTAATCTCCACCTTGTATAATAGGCATATGAATGGCGTCTGGTTGCTCTTGCTGCCGTTGGCGCTCAATAGTTGGCGCTATCAAACGAGTCGCATGAGATGAACACGCAACAATCGACAAGTTTACATGGCTACTGAAACAGCTTTGTAATTGATCGCAACATGTGCACCAAGGTTGTCACGCTCAGCGTTGCTGCTCCTTCAAAAGCGTTCGCCATGTCCCCACAAAATTTTTCGCAGAGCTCACCCTCACAAGTCTTCAGTCGCAACACGACAACATCGCAAAGCGCAGCAAGGCACCGCAAAGCACACACACACACACACACACACACACACACACACAAACGCACACCATAACAGCATGCGACGACAAATAACTCATTGCGCGCATCATTCTCGCATGCTCAAACAAAACCATTTCAAGAATGCGCGAAAACAATGTCCCACACCATCCCACAACTCCAATCCATCTTTTCACGGATAATTGCAATTGGTAGGAAAGACGGGCGGATATCTCTCTACGGGGCCGGGAACGGAGAACTATCCACAGAGGAAAGGATAAGGATAACTCTCAGCAAGCCGCTTTCGCGGAGCCACGATTGTTTTAGGTATGTAGATTACCAACTGATGATGAGGAAAAAGGAAGAGGGACGGAGGCCGGCTGTGTTTTATACTTGGACCAAGGGAGGGAGGGAGGCGGGGCAGGTCCGTGCGGGAAGGAACGCTAGATTAGTCAGCAGTTGAGGCTGGGAGGCCATGGCAAAAAAAAAACTGTGAGGACATTGGAAAATTCTGCCCTAGGACGCCTGTGCAGTGCGGGCTGTAAGTGGGACAGATATCATAGATGGCTGGTTATCAAGGTCGTGCGGCAGAGTTTCAGTATCAAGTACATAGTAGTACATTATGGCAAACCACATCATACAACAACCACACAGACTCATCACGATGCATATAAAAAGACGATCAAGTGTGGCGGGTTCATGCATGCATTCAAGCTAGCTAGACCCATCCATTCATATCCATCGAGATTCCGTCAGATGGTAAAACATGGCCATCTATCTTTCGACAGATCGCCACGACAAAACCCAGCAGACGCAACCACAAACACTCTAGTAGAGACGCTTGGGAGGGCTCATGGTGGCCTTGATGGTCAAGGAGCCCACGTTCTGCCATCCCTTCTTCAGCAGAGAGACGAGGTAGTTGATAGCCAACATGATGTTGCCAATCAGCTCATCCTCGGTCATGCCAACGTTGCCAATAGCGACACCCATGCAGAGAACCTTCTTCAACTGGAACTTGATGGTGGACTTGACTTCGTTCATCTTGTTGGCAAGATCCTCGTTGTGAGAGACGGGGGTAGGGAACTTTCCGGCCTTGGAGAGACCGGGTCCGAGGAGACGAGGAATCTGCTTAATGAGGGCATCGGAAGCCACGAAAGCGTCGTACTTCTTGGCGAGCTTCTTGATGAGCTTCTTGTTCTTGTTGAGCTTCTTCAAGTCCTGCAATATTTGTCAGAAACATTCAGATGCATCTGGTTCCTTGGTACTCACATCAGTGCTCATGGCATCGACACCATGGTGCTTGGCACGATCGATATCGTGCTGGTCACCGAGAACGCAAATGCTCATGCCTGTTCACTCTCCATTAGCCCATGCCTAGCTCGAATACTCTCTGCCATCAACTTACGAGGACGGGGAAGCGTGGGGAGCTTGATGGTTCCCGAGAAACGCTTGTCACGCTGGGGGTCGTAGTTCTTAAGGCCGATCTGGAGTTCGACGGTCTCGAGGAAGTTCCTCTTCTTGGTCTCGTTGGAGTACTCGAGGAGCTGTTGAACGTTCGTACGAACGCCGGCGACAGAGATTTTCGACATGTTGGCTGATGTGTCTCCCAGAGGATATCGGTTCCTTTGGTGGCTCTGTCAAGGTTGGTGTTAGGGAAAAGAGAGGCGAGCAGCGGTGGATTTCACAATGTGGGCGAGGAGGCGCGCTAGCGAAAACTACGCTAGCCCGCTTTTGTGCAGCTAGGCAACGGTAATCCAATGCGACCACAGTAAATGACGTTGCGAGTAATGCAGAAGGAGCAGAATGGTTTGATATATGAGTCACAGTTTGTCAGGCCATGCATTCCCCTTTTGGGGAGACAAATTCATCATATCCGTACATCCATCTCCCGCCTGTATGTCGTACGATTCCTGTCAGCCACTTCACAAAATGAAAATCCAATGCATAAGGTCGTCGCATACTTCCACATTTCTCGCACGCCCGTAGGCAGAATAACTATAGTAATATACAGTCGCTTTTTGCCATGCATGGATGTGCACTACGCCATGCAATGCCCCAAACTCCTCGCCATGACCATCAGAGTCAAAGAAGAAAAATAATAATGCAAGAAGTAGCACATGCCACAATAGACTGTTGCTACGGGTATCCCGTATGAGAAACCCTAACGCCGAATTCACACCATTTCCATAAGCTAAACCAGATCAAACCAAGGGGTATGTTGCGCACACAGGCCACCGTGCCAAATGGAGTAAAAGCCGAAGCCGTAGATATACAGAAGGCGAGAAGGGGTTGCTCAGGACTACTGGACATAGCCAGGCCAATTGTCAGAACTTACCAAAGAGCTAGTGCATGAGCTGTTGGTTGTTTGCCGCGTCGACAACATTGTCGGAGAGATTGATCAAAAGTTGAGCAAGGCAGCGCTTGGTGGCAGCGTCGTCCCGGAGAACAGAGGAGAAAGTAGCATCTCGGAGTGGCTCAGGCAAGGACTGGCGCAGCGCCTCGCGAGCGCGAGCGTTATCGCTCAAGCTGTCTATGGTGAGATGGAGAGTGGAGAGGTGCACGATAAAGCAACTTACCGGAGAAAGCAACGCACAACGTGCTTCAGTAAGCGAACCGTCTGCTGCTCAACGAGCTGATTGACCATGTTGCTTAAGACGGTGCCTACAGCATAGAAACGCTCGTAGGTTTGGCAGATGTATGCAAGACCAATGTCGTCCAGCAAGATCTTCTGCACAATGAAAATCGCCACAGTCTTACTGAGCTCCGAGCCCGTCTCCATGATACGGAGACAGAGTGGGATGATCTCGGTAGTGAGAAGGAAATTGATGACTTCAGAAGAGTCGTTCTTGACAAGAGCGCCAATTACACCAAGAGACGTAAGACGTAGGTATTCGAAGGGTCGTGACTTGGACGTCGTGTTCAGAAACGGGTACAGGAAGAGCGGAATGTGCGCTGTCGGGTCGTTAGCTAGTTTAATGCAATGCAGGACGTGTAGCATACCACTCAAAAACAAGCCACGGGTTTCAGTGTGAGAAGCTACGCATTGAAGAAGCGCGAGAGCATTACAGACACGGTTAGATGCTGCAGCGGTCAATTGCGAAGGGTTGAGCAATGGGTAAACGGAGATGATCTCTTGGAGGAGAGAAGCCATAACACCTAATGGATAGTCGTTAGCACTGCACTTGAAATGTTGAACATCTGGCGGCCATACCGAAAGAATGCCAGAGAATCAGAGCCAGCTCGGGAACCTGCTCCCGCTTCTTGCTCAACTCCAGAAGCGCGGCCTCCCTGGTAGCAGGCTTCATGAGCTGGGTTACCCATTCCAAAACGCGCCTATTCTCATCCGTCATGCCGACATCGGCTGCCTGGACGTCGTTGGCAGGTCCTCGGGGAACGGCGTTGTTGCCGGGCAGCGTGGAGCCATTGTTGGCCGCAAGCTGCTGGTGGTACTGGCGCTGCGCAGCTGCTTGAACGGCTTGAGCCTGCTGCTGGGCGTGCAACTGGGCGGCCTGCGTTTGATGCTGTCCATGTTGGGCTACGTGATGTTGCGGCTGCTGGTGGTGGCCCTGACCCCACTCGCCGTACTGTTGCTGATGCGCGAGGAAATGTTGCATTGGCTGCGGGTCGTAGCGGTTTCGCGGGTATTGCGGGGTGTTGGTGAAATGAAGTCAGTTGCGCGGATCTAAATAGAAAGCGACAAGCGATCAAAGAATAGGCTGGTGGGTCGAAGGGCAGGCGATGGAGATTGGGGCGTGGTGAGTCTGTTCTGGCTGCACTCGAGAGATGAGGCCGCGAAGCACCCCACTGGCGCGAGCGCCTTGGCGCCTGCGGGAGCTCGTGCTTTTGACGGAGATCGACGGCGCATCCGCATCAGGTGCAGCTTGGGCAACAGTATAACGTTTGTAAGTGCGCCAATCAAAGTGATACGGTGAAGGCGCTGAGGCAGCAGTGAGAGGAGCACGAGTCACCGCCAGGGTCCAGCCAGGTCACGACCCTGTAAAGGGAGGGAGAGAGCTCGATTCACGATTCATTGATATCAGACTTCTAAGATTCCATCTGCTCCGACCGCTCCAACCATTACAGGGCAAATGACAAATGAAATTCGTGGGCGGTGGTTCTACTCATAAGGAAAATCTGCTCCCAAAACCTTCTGAACTAATCGAAAAAGAGAAAAAGAATTACAGTGCATAGTTGAAGTTCCAAAAATTGACGTATGCATGCCAATATCCGAAGTGAAAAAAAAACGTCAAACCCTCTCCCCTACACCCTTTACAACAAAGAGTCATCATAGCCTAAGCTCTGAAAGAATAGTTTGTGCCATGTTCTTGTACTGCCAAGTTCCTCCATCCACCTTCTTAAACTGGATACCATGCAATGTCAACAGAGGGACTTTGACGATCAATATCTCAAACACGAGGTTCATGCTGGAGCCCATGTCACTTTGTACATGCGTCGACGTTTCCCCAGCAGGTACTGCACGTCGTGGTCGTCGCTCGTCACGGTCTTCACTACCATCAGACTCATCAGTGTTCGTGTAGCTGCGGTCTGCGGGAGATGGTCGTGAGCGTGATTTTGGTGTGTTGGGATTGCGCGTCTGGTCCCGTAATTCGTCACGCTCTTTGTCACCACCTATGAAGCCGCCAAAGCTGATTCTCCGCTTATAACTTCCGACAGGTGGTGATGCAGGCGAGTCCATCGCTCTGTTCATGTCGATACTAGGTGAGTGTCGACATCTGAATCCACCTTTGATTTCAGTCCATTCTACACCAAGCTGGTCCAAAACCCTGATCAAGTCATCTTGAATGACAGTGAGTGGCTTTGTGCTGGTAGTAGAGACGCTAAACAGGCCCTTGAGAAAAACGGGCTTGACGGCATCTGGACTCCGGCTGGCTTCTGCTTGCGCTTCGGCGAGTTCTGCGTCCGTCTCTTCGGGCACATTTGCCTCCTTTGCTTGCTCTCTCCTGGCTCGTCGGGCCTGTATGCTCTCTCTTCGCGCATGACCCAAAGACTTCGCCCGCGAGGTCTGACTATGCCGTGAGCTTGAAGAAAGGTCGTCCGAAGCAGCATCGTTGGCTGCTCGAGTCTTGTGCCCACTCATCTCGGATCTGTCTGATCCGCTCGTGGGCGGAGGGTTTCCAGGATCTTCTGAAGATCGTCCCCGTCGGCTGAGTCGTCTGCGCAGGTCTGCCGAGTTAACACTGGTGGAGCGGCCAAGTGCTTTCAGTTTGCGGGCGGCAGTGTTGCTAGTTCCAGGAGGTGAGAGCAATTCGGGCTGGTTGTTGGCGTTTGCGGGAAGATGTGAGGCTGATCCTGCATCGCGGTCGCGTGTCCGTCGAATACTAAAGCTCTTCCTTGGGACTGAAGTTGGGGGTGCAGAAACTGCCTCAGGAGGACCAGAAATCGCAACGGCTGGCGTGGGTGGTGGTGGCAACGGTTCCACCTTTTCCTTGTCATGGCTGCGATACTTTCTAGTACTGAAGCGACGCAAAAGACCAGCGGCAGCTCCCTCCTTCTTTTGCTGCTCGACTTGTGGAGGGAGAACCGGCGGCAGAGTATTCAAATCCACTCTCTTAAGACTATCGGTAATGTCATCCTCACCATGTGTCCTTGCTCTAGGTCGTGATCTCCCGCCTGTAGGCTTCTCGCCCGCCATTTCGTAAGTTGCTGAGTTGGTATACGCAGCTGGTGGTGCTGGGAGGTCCGGCATTTTGAGTGGCTTCTCTTCTGGGGCCTGAGGGATAGCCACAGGGCCTGGGTCAGCGGTCTCGAGCCGCTCACGATCTCTCTTTTCTTTGACGAGGAAGTAAACCGATAGCAGAGGGCTGTATGCATTCACGGGGTCCAAACCTCTCTGAATATCTTCAGAGGACGAGGCCGTCAACTGCTCTCTGCTCCCGATTGAATTCCGCCTCTTGTAAAAGTCAAACATGCCCCTCTTCTTCTCCGTATCTGGTGTCTGTGCGGTAGCCTTGCGTGCTGCCAGTCGCACAGCACGTTGATACTCTTCCGACTGGATCACATTGGTCAATTGTGCGGTGATGTATTCAGTGGTGCCGAAATCGAAACCTTGCATCTTCTCAACAACTTCAGGATCCAGGGGCAGTTGAATGGGATCTCGGTGGGGCAGGTAGTTTTCTGGTGGGCTGTTGAATCCCTTTGTCAACCAAGGATGAACCATGATCTCTGAGAGTGTCAATCGCTGGGCGGGATCCGTCTGCAACATGCGGTGTATTAGATTGCGACATTCTATAAAATGTTAGTACAGTATGAAATACTAAATGGTGACCAAAGCATACCGGTAGAAAGCCAGGGTGGATAATCGACATGGCCCTTTTTGATTTTTGCGTGTAACTGGGGCATGCTCTGGTCGTCAAAGGGTACCTTTCCGCAGACGAGGACGTAGAGGACAATACCAAAACTCCAGACATCGACTTCGGGGCCGGTGTACTGCTTGGCCTGGAGGAGTTCAGGGGCGGCAAAGTACAAACTCCCGCAAAAGGTTTTGAGCTGATTTCGGGGAGAGAAGAGATTGCTGAGGCCGAAATCGATAATCTTGATATCGCCCATTTTACTGATAAGAATGTTTTCA